GGGCTTAGTGGAATAAACATGCATGTGTAAAAGGATATAGGTTAACAACTGCTCAACTGCCCTGAAACCCTTATCTGTAACACTTTCGGCTATTACAGTGTTCATGACACACCCACCCACACTTAGACACAGAGGTACAGCAAAATACATTTCAACCAAGTACAATATTTTAATGTGAGGTTTGCAACAAAATTTTTTGAAACAACAAAACAAAAACAAACAAACAAACAAACAAACCCACATTAAAACATTAAAGCTGTAAATGAGGCCTCCCATGTGGAATTATGTACCTACCTTACCAGCGGTGGACATTTCTGCAACTATGACAGAGTCACAAAAAAGTTGAAAGCAACAGGAGCTGCAGGACTGGAGTCAGAGAAACTTGCTTGGACTTGCTGCTAAAATACTACAGCTGGAGAGGGAGTTATGCAACCACCAGATGGGCAGGGACTTTTCAATGATTGCAAACTGAAAACGTTTTTTCTTCTTCCCTTGCTTAAACTCATATGGAGAATAGATATGGAGGCTGCTATGTTTGCACAAACAACCCACAGTCAACACAGATGATAATAAATCATGGAAAAACTCACTTTTGTACTGCGTTTATCAAAAACTATGACAACTTACAGAGCTACCTGACGCTGTATTTCTGTTATTTTGTTTGAGTGGCCATCGTGAGTCATTTATGCTGAATGGCATAAAAATTTACATTCATTTCTTTATAATTACACAGTTTATGACACTCAACAACAATCATCACAATGACAAATCCACTGAATTGTTCTATAATTTTGAAAACTTTATATAGTATGTCAAGGAGGTGAAAGATTTCGGTGGCACTCAGGCTTCACATTCACAGTTTGGAAATTTGACAGATGATTTCTTAGTCAACTGTACAATCACAGGTGCGTAACAGTAAGTTGGCACATTAGAAATGTTATCTTTTGGATTTGTGTACAATGTAACTGGACTTTAGTAACAGTTCTAGATATTGCATCAGCCCTTTAGTCTTATATAGATAAAGGTCAATATACAAGTCTTTGAGAGAACTCCCATCATAAACTTTATAATTATCAACTACCCTTCTCAAGACCTTGAAATAAAACTTGCTACAAACTCTCAAGCTCATTCCAGTCCAGGCTGTCAGTTATCTGTACCCCCAGAAAATCCCTGGTGACTACCTCAACAGCACTGTTGTCATTGATGAGAGTTTTGTCCTGAATTCGATGATCATCTCCTTGGTCTTCTTGACGTTTCGGAACAGATTGTTAGCACTGCACAGATCCACGGCTTCACCTTATCTCTATAGGACAGGTCGCTGTTGTCCCTAATGAGACCCACCACTGTTGTGTCATGTGCATACTTGATGATGTGACTAGAAGCAGATGCAGCACTGGAGTCATGTGTCACAGCGTGAACAGCAGTGGGCTCAGGACACAGACCTGAGTGGAGCCGGTGGAGCCGATGGAGATGGAGATGCTGTTTCCCATTCGCTGACTGAGGTCTGTTGGTGAGGAAGTCCAGCAGCCAGTTAACCATGGGAGTGCTGACTGTTTTCTACTCCAGATGCACCAAGCTCAGGTGGAGAACAGAGGAAATGGCGTCCTCTGGAGAGCGGTTTGGCTGGTAAGCAAACTGGAATCGGTCAAATATGGGAGGCATTAAAGATATGTAGTCCTTTACCAACTTCTCGAAGTTCTTCATCATTATGGGAGTTCGTGCAGCAGGGTTGTAGTCATTAAAACACGTGATGGGCACAGGGATGATGGTGGCAGACTTGAAACATGATGGAACCACAGTCTGCTCCAAGGAGTTGTTAAAGATATCTCTAAGGACGTTTGCTAGCTGGTCACCGCACTCCCCGAGTACTGTTGGGGTTTTTATTATGAGAGACAAGACAAATATGCTCCAATTATAAGTTTTCACAGATAATTAATAAAACATTTAAAATTTTAAATTAGTTTTACATGGCGTTGTAGGCCTCTCTCAGGCTCAAAGGCTGCCGCACCCAGGCAGTATACACTTTTTACTGCTGGTCACAGAAACTGAATGTTGACATGGTTGGTCGAAAGAGCTGAGAGTGGCCTTAGGTCTGATACCAGCTCACGGCCAATCACCAGCTCTGCAGCTTTCTGGACCTCTCCTTATTTGGGGACGCCCTTTTGCAGGCAACACTCCCGTTACGATGAAACCACGTTTTGTTCTCCGGTCAGCCCCGTAGAGTTAAAGAAGGGGTGTAAAGTGCATACCATAACAGCAGATTTATGATCAAGGCCACATTCCTGTGAGGGGGTTGTGAGGAAGTGTTGTCTCTGTTAGTATCAGAGTAAAAGTCTACTTCCAAAACTCCTACATTACACTGTGTGCAACAAAGGACAAAACACAAATATGTGATACTAATTATGAGATATTAGCCTTAAAGATCAAAATAAATTCCAACAGTACCCATCCTGGAATGTTTTCCGTACATTCACTTTTCCCAGTGTTTTCCCAGACATCATCCGCATTGAGATTCAGCGCTTTCTCATCCGCGTGAAGACTGGCTTTTATTGCAGAGGTGTTGTCTGTTGCAAATCTACAGAAAGATTCGTTGAGGTCGTTGAGGAGGTGTGGGTTGTTGTCATACAGTGTAGGAGTAGCCTTATAAGCTATTATTGCTTGAATCTCCTGCCACATGCACCTGGTGTTATAGGGTCACAGAAGAAACTGAACCTTCCAGCATAAATGCACAGTTCAGGCTGGCTCTAGCTGTCTTGAACACAGCCTCATCACTAGACTTAAAAGCAGCATTCCATACTTTTAGCTTTTTGCGTGCCTCCGGTGTCATCCAAAAAAACCCAAACAAACCCTAAATTGGACATTATATCTAGAAAAGTTCAGGACTGTTGCTCCCTGTTAAAATGTCCCCCAACTATTTAAGAGTATTCCAACGGTTGTGAAACAATCACCTCACAAACAGCTGGCAACTTAAAAAGATACAGTTATGATCAAGTTTAACTGCAAGCAAAATGCATTTCACACCAACAGCATACTGTGGGGTTGGCACAAAGTTTTCCAAATAGTTTCTTTTTGCACCTGAACAGGACCTTTTGCAAATATGGGCTCTAACTGTTCACCCGGGGGAATGAAGAAACAAATCTGGTCATTAGGAATCAAACAACAAACACATTACTCTGAGCTAACGTCATTTCGTTATTTCTAATGTGTGACTTGTGATGACCTCCCCACTATCAAGAAAGTCCTGACCTGCTTTTATTGGTGATTGGCCGGCATGAGAGCATAGTCAGCTAATGCAGCTCACATGGGTCTTCCAGGCTATAAAAGCTGGTCTAGATGTACTATCCAGTCTCTACTCTACCCTACCTGGAAGCACCCAAATTGCCACTTGGTTATATTATGATAGGTTTTTATGTGAACTATGGGAAATTGCCCTTTGTCACCCACTTTGAGTGAGGTTGTGACAAATGGGAGATGTTCAGTCCATTGGTAAGGTTAAAGTTTGGGTCAGTGCTAACTTGTTTGCTAACATAGCTTAAAGCTGTTCTGCTTTTTGAGTACAGCCCGATACAATATCTTAATAAGTTCCGCATAAGATAAGATTTGGATTGGTTACATTAAGGTTGAGCTGTTCTGTGGTTTATGCTGGAGGAGAACAACAATAGTCACCATTTTGCCTGGCCATTAAACACCTGTATTTTGGGATGAGTTTAGCTTCATGAGCCATGCATCCCCTTTAATAGGCTTAAGTGGCTGACCTCAACAGAGGAGCATGCTTTCTCTTTAGTCTGGCAGAAAATGTGGTTGAAGTCATTTTCTTGTGGTTTGTGGCCTTATGAAACACATGGCTTGAGTTTTCACAATTGGTTGTGGCATAACTGTGCCACAAGTGTAACTGGTATGACTTCAATAATGTTATGTTTTAAATTTAGTAGTTTGGTCTGGCAGCTTTGGTGTAGACAACATTGACTGAGCTTTGAATTGGCGTGAATTTGGTTGGTTCCCTCTTTGGTGGCAGCTTGGATGTTTTGGTTGTTTTGCTACTATGGCTGATTCTCATGCTTTAATTTGATTTTTGATTTCTGACTACTAAAGATTTTGCGAAGCAGTGTGGTGTGTTTGTTGCTGCAGGCCATGTGATGAGGTCGGGTGTACATTTAAGTAACAACACTTTGATTTGGCGCAGATAATACTTGCACGCGCTGCTTTCTTAGTTGCAGCCTACTGTTATTGATTTGCTGCCAAAGGAAGATCAGCACTTGATGCAGCTTACCTCTTACTTCTAGGCAGTAAAGGCTGCCCCAGATTAACTGCTCCATCTCTGTTTCACTTCACTGGCCACCAACTCATCAGTGATGTTTGTCTCCTGATGGGGTAGTTTTAATAAACTCTTTTTTAAGTAAACTTGTCTCCCTTCCTTAAGACTAGCATCTTGACAGCCAACCTTACACTGAGACGATTTCTGATAAGGCTTCAGTCAATAACAGATTGATCAACTGAAAGATCAGATGCATCAGCTCCTGTATGCAGTCTTTGCTTTCAGACTTCCAGATACACTCCATTGACTGGAGGTAATTTTTAACCCTGCCACTACCAACTTCTTCAAATTTGCACTGCAAATCATGCTGAAATACACCAGGATTTGGACTAAAACACATTGGTAATCACTTTGTTACGGCAAAGAATACTATTGTTATGCAGTCAAACAGTTGTCTTTGGCATTGTTTTTGCTGATCTGACAAAAAGAAAAACTGGAATGGATCAAGTGGCTTAAACAAAATGCTATTCTGAAAATGGTCAAGCACTAGGACTGAAAATGAGTGAAAAAGCCACCAGTGTCCAAAAGAACAACTTAAAAAGTTTTTCAGGAAACCTGCAGAACTATTGACAAAAACATTTAAAAAAAATTAAAAAAATAGAAAGTCTGCCCTCCAAATTAACACACAATCATGACACACTACATTGGGGTATTAATAAAAAAAAAAAATGAAGAAAATTCCAAATATTTTAAACTCTTTTATTCATCTACTCGTGTAACTGACAAGGGTGAAACATTACGTTTTAAATTTTTTACCGATATGTTGAAATAGTGCATTTTCTATGATGAAATGCAGAGAAATTAGTTAACATGGATATCACACAGTGCTAATTATACAGTCGAGTACTGCTGAAGACTAAGTAGTTGAAGAGAACAATTAAGATGTTCAAATATGAACAACTGAAGTTATGAGAGTAGAACCAGAATTCTTAGAAAGAAAATCTGCTTCAAAGGAACTACTTTATATCAGAGAACAACGATCTCTGATGTGTGGTAACTTACACTCACACATCCGTCCCAACAGCTAATTTTTAATGAAACAATATATAAACTTTGTAGCGAGCCATCATCCATAACAGCATTTCATGCCGTTTTACCAAAACAAAGAATAAAAACAACGAGGTTATTTTGCTTTTATGGTTGAAACCAGATGCAGTCTTTGCAGAGGACTACTGAGAAGTACCAATGAACTGAAGGGAAACTGATCTAATTAATGTTCAGAAACTCCTTAGTAAAATGTCAGGACATAAAATCTTTACATAACGTAAACATATGTTTAAATATTTGCTGTGAGTATAACGGTACAGCTTCTCTCGGTTCATAATTAAAAATACATAGATACATTCTGTATTTGTATGAACAACATTGCAACCAAACTTTCAGCTCACGAACGACCATCTGTGATCGATTCTCTGCAGAAAGGAAGCCAAAAGGATAACATAAGACGTGTTACACAAGTATCCCACATTACACATCAGAAGATCCGCAAAGATGGACCAAAAAATAAAAAAATAAAACAACTCAGCAACCCCAGAAAGACATGAAGACAGAATGTAGTAGGTTACAAAAAAAAAACCAGCAACAATGTGTCACTTTGAGCACCACCAGCTCTGGTGCAGAGCAGCTTCTGGGAGGAATTCTTCCTGTGTGTGCATTAGTATGAAGGACGAGCGCTTGCACAGCACTCATCAGTGTGCACACATGCAAGCGGTAGCATATACACGTGGGACATGAGTTCCCTTCACTAAGGAGTGCTGCTGTCCCAAAGCTCAGTAGTACAATGTAGATGCCCACATTTCCAAATACAGCTGCTGTTTATGTGGAAGAACGTAAAGGCAAAACACACTCGCCTATCCTAAGAAGACTGTTAACATCATTATTGACTCATTAGTCTCAGCACAAAGAAAGCATTTTGTTTTTCAAGGCAAAACAATTATCAGGCACAAAGCAGCAAAGAGCTGGATCCTGTCCACACTAGTTTACCTGCGCTAATAGATATTCTTCAGTTTGAACCTCGTCACATGACTTAAGAGGAACCCCCCCCGTAACAAACAGGAAGACAAACACAGTCCCAGTAATTCTGGTCCTGGTGGGGGGAAAAGACGCTGACTGTATAATGTGTATTATGTTTTAGGGTTAAATTCCCCATTTTTTTTTCCTCCAGTAGCAGCACTCAAGTGTGTTTAAATCTCAACATGGCTTTTTAAAATGTTTTTTTCTGAAATGGAAAGTGGTAGTTCTGTCAATGAAAGAAATCATGTTTATAGTTTTGCAACATAAACTGATTATTATAAAAGTGTTATTCACTTAAAGCGGCGCGTTTAAGCTTTTCCTTTTTTTTTGTATATATAAAATCGCTACAGCAGTGGATATTTATAATAATTCTACCCAAAGTTTCAAATAAAAATGTCAGCGAATGCAAACGTCATCTCTGTGAGCCAAAACCTCAGCGTTAGACTGCTCTGAATGTTCAGTTATCAAAAGGATTTTCTACTCCTGGGGCTCGTCTCATTTAGAGAAGATGTCTTTGTTATAATCATCACGAGTGTCGCTCTGAGTGAAGAAACCACGCCCACTTGTTATCAGCAAACACTTAGGGAGGTGTGACCAATCAGAAGAAAGTCAGTTCCAATGAAAGGGTGCTAAAAATGGGTCATTTTCTAACAAATTGAGATGAACTGAGAGGCGGCTCCAAGGCTCAGTATCACATAAATAAAGATTATTTTGAACTGTGAATAATGCAAAGCTACTCTATAAGAGTTTAACAGTAACAATACAGAGAGCAGGTTCTCCTTAAGTAAAATGAAAAAAAAAACAAAACATGTAATATCATTGCAATCATTTCATTACTGAAAAAAAAGATAAAATCAAATGTTTGAAAGAGTAATTAGTTTTTGATTTCTATTTCAACTTGTGATTTTTACTGAAGCCTTGAACAGGATATTAAACATTTATTCTTTTGAGCCATGCGGCCCATTCAGGAACATTTCCTCACACATACAAACATCACAGATAATCTGTTCTGTTCACTTTGGCACTGTTCTACTGACCCAGAGCTGATCTCAGTGGAGGCAAATAAAATTCTCAAACGCAAAATTATGGCAATACCTTCATCTTACTGCTGAAGACAGATATTTCACTTTACTGGAGATACATAAAAGACAGTATTTGGGATTTGGGGAAATGCGCTCATCTGCTTTGTTGCTTAAATTCAGATCTATGCTATGCAGCAGGAAAAATATGAAGTGAAAGTTAGCAAACGGTGAGCTTAGCTTTAAGACTTGAGGCTGACTTTGTCCATCTAAACTTCTAAATAATAGCAATAAATGTCAAAATGTTCTTTTTTTTTTTTTTTAAATGGAAAGCTGTCAGGTAATTAGCTCTAAACTGACAGATTCCCTGTTACAATACTCGAAAAAAACGGAAGGAACTGGCTGTAAGTCATGTCATGTTTGCACGCCAACAGGCTCCTGGTGGTGAAGAATTAGGTCTTGTGGAAATGCATCTAGTGATTTCTACTTATGACAATAACGGCTCCTTTCAAAGGAGTGGAAGAAAGGACCGTTCATTGATAGATGGTAACGATGTTCTCCTTATTAGTCTCCTTACATTTTCGATTTAAGTCAGATTCATGTCATAAGTGAAGAAAAAACAAAAAGATGACGTGCACACTGGATCTGTAATTACAAGCTTAACAAAGGCCAAAACCACAAATACTAAAGACACAACCAAACAAACAAAAAAATCTTAAAAAAAAAAAGTGATAAAAGACACAGGAAGCAGAGGTGCCATTTTCACTGTTCACAATCTCTGCATGTGTAGTAAGGCAAAATAAAATCTGAGGGTATTTTTAAGCGTTTTGCTTTCGTCTGGGGAGGTTACGAGTTGGCAACATGATGGCAGGGGGCACGTACGCACAAGTTTCTCCTTAAGGAAGACTTGTGATCCATCTTGACCGACCCGCTCTGTATTTTCCGGGGTTGTTCTGGTTCACGCCACTTAAGCAGCAGAGTGATTCATCAGTCGTCAATGTCCTCATACACATCATCATCAAAAGGCCGCGCAGAAGACAGCTGCAGTCTGTGATGGGAGTACTTGAGCTGAAGGAGGTCTCCAACCTCACTGATGACGTTCAGCGCCTGTGGAGACATTTATACAATGAAGAAGAAAAAAAAAATGCTGTCAGTCTGAAGGCCAACATGAAGAGCGAGGACGTTTACAGATGCAGAGACACCAGCCTCGTAAAACCAAATTGTAAACTGGGGCCGAAGCAGGAAAGATCTCTGGTTTGAACTTTTACATTTTTCACTTCTATTACCTGGGTGTTAGAGCAAAGTGATGAGTTCATACAGACACGTCTTCCAAACAGCAGCAAATCGTCATTCTATCTAAAGCCCTACAACTAAGGGGGACATATTCACTCTGAGCGCATGAGCTCTGGTTAATGCAACTGAAGTGCTACAGTTCAAGCTGTTATAGCATAAGGTCGACAATAATTACACAATGTAGGGATGAGTATATATATATATTGCTGAAATTTTAATGTGGTTTTGCTTTGTTGCATCATGCATGTTTGTTTCATCAGTTTTAACTTTAAGCTTCATCAGTAGATTTCTGCTCACTTGAGGTCAGAGCAACAAGCTGCAGAACAAACAACCTTTTAAAAAGTTTTAAGATTCAATACTGTCAGCTCAAAAGCACATTAATGGATTAATTGGCATAAATCTGGACTCCCGTTTTTATGAATCTACAGTTTCCTTTTTAAAATTAATATTTCTCTCTCAAGATTGCAAATGCTACATTTTGTTCACCAGCTATTTGTTAAATCCCTCAGTCCTGCAGCACACAGCTGCTTTTCTGAAATAGGAAACGAGATTTATTGTCGCACATCTCACACTGGTGACATTAACCAGGAATAATAAAGTAACAGGCTGGAAAAGAAATACAAGAGGAAAAAAAAAAAAAAAAAAAAGAGTGGAGAATTTCCAAAAATTCAGAGTAAAGTTAGATTTCTCCCAGTGCGTCAAAACCTTATACAACGCGTTTTTGTTCTGAAATTAGAGCTGTGGAGTAACATGCATGCGTGGAGTACATTGTTCCCATTACACCAGATGTTTATTCACCAATTCCTGGACTTATGCAACTTTGGATAAGTGACTATTTATGGGGCTTGAGGAGTTTTTCAGTGTTTCAATGTGTGTAGGTTGCCAGTAAAGCAATATATACCTTCTGTTTATGGTAAAGCTTTGTGAGGATGACAGATGGGCTTTGTATCACATCTTAAAGTATAAAAGGAACTGAAATGCTTTATTGCAGTCAAATCATGAGTATCTTTCTGTGTCGTTTCGGCCAAATATTAAGTTGGTTCATCTCCTTAATCAAGTAAGGCTTTTCAGGTAGACTAGAAAAAAAAATAAAATGAAATAAAAAAAAATATATTTCATGGAAGAATCAATCACTATTCTACCTCTGATGCTTTTAACATTTTGAGCCATCAGATGTCGAAGTAGCTCCTCCAAATCAACACTAGGTGGACAATTTTGTAACAGTCTCCACATTTTCAGATACATTAGTTATAACCTGACATTTAAGGTTGACAGATTATTGCGGTCAGTAGAATGAAATAACGATGGCAATAAAAGGATTTAGGTCGGGATGTAAGTGTGGGTGTGAGAGAGTGAAAAGATAATACTCTGAAAGCTCGCCAGCGGATAAAAGAAACACAAACCAAGATGACACTTCAAAGTGCATGAGAATAATACAGAGAGGAAGACTAACGGAGACAGATTTTACACCGTGACAGATAAAAGCACTACGGTACAGTACTCCCACTCCTTGTCTTCAGCTTATTTTGTTCAATTTTTTGAAGTGCACCGAGAATAATAGGAAGATACCATAACCCTGGATATACAAAACTTCCTGGAGACACAGTTTGTATCTGCGCCAACTGAGCTACACACATTAGACAGGAAGCACAGGAGAAAGCTCAACCTCTGTGTGAGAGGATTTACATTAGTGTCAAAATAAGAAAAGAACCGTGGAGGATCTAAGACGGTGGCCCGTAGTGAAGAGCAAACAGGTCTGCAGTGAGCTCATTTCAGCAACGCAGAAGAGCCCTCGCTGTGAAGAGTGGGCGGATTTAGATGTGTTGTAATCAAAGCTGAACTGTCTGCACTTACACAGGCCAACACAAAGAGCAATGTTGAGGTCTACACTCAAAACACAGGGAACAAACAGTACGTTAACCTGCAGAGTGATACAGCTGACACTTTATTTTTATATGGAGCCTCTTCTGGGAGACTTTTCCTGACACTCTCTAAATCCAAGTGAGGCATTCTTGTCCTTTGATGGATTTCTGGCAATGGGATGTCAGACATTAAGCTGCAAGGGACTCGGCATGCTCTAAGTTACTCAAGGCATAGGTAGACATTTGAGGTCAAAAGAGATCATATCAGCGTCCCTCAAATTGCAGACAGTGTTTGCCCCTGTTAGACTGCTCCACTTTATTTAATGCCAACTAGATTTCTCCACTTAGTTTCAAACAGCTCAAAGGTCATTACACTGCTGTGAAACAGGAATAAACAAACTTTAGAGAGTATAACTAAACAAATCAGGCCTGGCTAGTAGCAGCCAGCACCACTCAAATAAGCCTGCCACTGGTAGACTATTAGTAATTGCACCCCTCTCCTCCTTGTGAACTCCTGCCGGCAAATCTAGCTAACAAGCTACATGCTGGAAAAACTTTGACAAAAACCTGATCTGTGTGCAGGCCCAGTAATTAGCCATAACCCCTGTGAAAGTACACTTAGCAAAACACCAGTGAGCTTAGTTCATAGAGGGTCGGGTCTAACAATTCTGAGTAATTAGAGGAATTCGGGGAATGTTTTTCACTGAAATGTAATGGCTTCAGCCTGACCGTTCGCCTATGTGGACAGCGAGAAGTGGATACGCAAGACTAGTCAGCATCAATACATCTGCAGCTGTAGGTGCTGCAGTCTTTCTTTAAAGAAAAAAAAAACCTGACAGCTTTTGCATACTAAGTACAAGCTGCAGAATATTACATCCAATTAACTGCCATCATCAGACATCAGAACAGAGCAGAACAGTATTTTTAGTGGTCATTATTTAGCAGGATTTAATGTCACACAGTGGTGTGTAACAGCTTCTTCTTGGTCTTAAAGACCAAAAAAAAAAAAAAAGAAAGAAATTGTCCCATTTTGAGAAATCATTGTTGACCTTTACCTATGAGTATTACCATAAAAGAATATCATATCTAGAATGTGTTAAATGAGACATGCTGAATACTAAACACGTGTTAAGGCGTCCCCGTGCCCAAGAAGTCTTCTGTGTCCTGTCTCAATGACTACCGCCCTATCGCACTTACACCCACCATCATGAAGTGCTTCGAACGGCTCGTCATGAGACACATCAAGACCCTGCTGCCCCCCTCACTGGACCCAATGCAATTTGCATACCGCCATAACCGCTCAACGGACGACGCCATCTCCACTGCACTCCATCTTGCCCTGACACACTTGGACAAGAAGGACTCACACGTCCGAATGCTGTACATAGATTTCAGCTCAGCATTTAACATGATCATCCCCCAACAACTGATCGGAAAGCTGAGCCTGTTAGGCCTGAACACCTCCCTCTGCAACTGGATCCTGGACTTTCTGACCGGAAGGCCTCAGTCAGTACGGATCGGGAACTGCACCTCCAGCACCACCACACTGAGCACTGGTGCCCCACAAGGCTGTGTGCTCAGTCCTCTGCTGTTCACACTGCTGACTCATGACTGTGTAGCAACACACAGTTCAAATCACATCATTAAATTTGCTGATGACACGACCGTGGTGGGTCTCATTAGCAAGAACGACGAGTCTTGCTAACGAGAGGAAGTGCAGAGACTAACGGACTGGTGTAAGGACAACAACCTGTCTCTGAATGTTGACAAGACAAAAGAGATGGTTGTTGACTTTAGGAGGACACGAGGCGACCACTCACCGCTGAGCATCAACGGCTCCTCTGTGGAGATCGTTGACAGCACCAAATTCCTGGGTGTACACCTGGAGAAGGACCTCGGCTGGTCCCTCAACACCAGCTCCCTGCACAAGAAAGCCCAACAGCGTCTCTTCTTTCTGAGAAGACTGAGAAAGGCCCGGCTTCCACCACCGATCCTGACCACCTTCTATAGAGGAACTATTGAGAGCATCCTGAGCGGCTGCATCACTGTCTGGTTTGGGAGCTGTGCCATATCAGACCGCAAGACCCTACAGCGGATAGTGGGAACAGCAGAGAAGATCATCGGGGTCTCTCTACCCTCTATTGAGGACATCTACACCACACGCTGCATTCGCAAAGCCACCAGCATTGTGGCTGATCGGACACACCCCTCTCACACACTCTTTACACTCCTGCCATCTGGAAAAAGGTACCGAAGCATTCGGGCACGCACATCCAGACTGTGCAACAGCTTTTTTCCACAAGCCATCCGTCTCCTCAGCAAAAAGGGACTGACTGATAAACACGCACACACACACATACACTAACATTATCACTCAGCTTAACTCAAATACCTCAAAACATTGAGACTGGACTGACTAACCAACACAAAGCGCAAACACACTGACCTACACCACCAAACCATCGCACACACCAACCTGTAAATGCTCTTTTGCACAATATTATTACTAGATATATTATATATTATTATTTTTTTTTGCACTAACTTGTCTTGTAGCACCTTGGTTCCTGGAGGAACGTTGTTTCGCCTCACTGTGTATTTTTAAACTGTATATGGTTGAAGTGACAATAAAGTTGAACTTGAACTTGAAGATATTTTTAAGTGTGTGTTTACCTGGTCGAGCATGTTTTTCGAATGGCCGGCAGAGATGCAGAAGCGTGCTCGCGATTCGATGATGGGTGTAGCAGGGAAGCCCACGACAACCACGCCAATGTTCCTCTTCAGCATCTCCCTGCCAAACGCTCTGGTGGGAGAGACAAAGCTGGCTAGATCAGGTGACCCTGAATCCTCCCTTAGTTATGCTGCTGGGGCATTCCCAGCATTGAGTGTTTCTTCTTCAGTCACCTTTCTCACTCTCTGTGTTAATAGACCTCTCTGCATCGAATCGTACTTGTTATTAATCTCTATCTCTCTTCCACAGCATGTCTTTTATCCTGTCTTCCTTCTCTCACCCCAACCGGTAGCAGCAGATGGCCCCGCCCCTCCCTGAGCCTGGTTCTGCCGGAGGTTTCTTTCTGTTAAAAGGGAGTTTTTCCTTCTCACCATCGCCAAAGTGCTTGCTCATAGGGGGTCATATGATTGCTGGGTTTTTCCTCTGTACGTATTATTGTAGGGTCTACCATATAACATAAAGCGCCTTGAGGCAACTGTTGTGATTTGGTGCAGTATAAATAAAACTGAATTGAATTAAAAAAACTGAATAGCAAAAATAACCGCAGAGGTTTAATAAAGAGTATGACAGACAAAAAAAGAAGAAAAAAGGAATGGTCCCAAACCTGCTTTGGTCCCAGTGTTTTGCTTGATATTTACAGCAGGATTAATTAAAGCTGCAGAGGTACAGTCCTTGTACTGATACTAAAGCATGTGTGCACCTAGACTCAGTTTCTGCAGTCAGTTTAACACCTTGAGCTCTTGTGATGTGACGTTGGGACACTGTCTACTGTCCACTGCTATAACAGAGTTTTTAAACTTGTTACCTTAATAATATTTCAGGGGAAAAACAAAAAACCCAATACTCATCAACAAATGATATAATTGATCACACTGTATTGCTCTAAGGCTCCAATTAAGAGTTCCAGCAATCAGAGCAGTAGTAAACAGCAAAGATGGAGGCTCACCCTATCTTGGCGGGCATGTAGAGCATCAAGGGTACGACGGGAGAGTCGTTGTTGCCGTAGATGATGAAGCCCATTTCTCGAAGCCTCTTGCGGAAATAGACCGTGTTCTCTGCCAGCTGCTGCACACGCTCACTGCCTAAGGATGATGAAGAAATTTGGAGACAGAGTTGATAGGAAGCACGATGGAAGTTAATCACACGGATGTCCTGCGTTCTAAGATCATCTATATCTAATCATCTAGGTTTTGTTTTTTGCAGTGTGATGACAGCCGTTTGCTTTGCAACTTTAACGTGTTAGACACACAAGTCATCACATCCTGATGTGTTAATGGACAATATGTGAATATTCACAGAGCGCTGTGATATCCACTCATCTCTGCTTAGTGTAACTTGTTACTCACACTCACTGGATATAGCAAACTCATTAATGAAGCCTGGCTGCATTTACTGCTTTATCAGTTAAATGTTTTTGTTTTTATTGTTGGTCTGGGTTTGTTAACAAACAAGTTTATTATTTGTTTATAATAACGAGTTTGTTTGGTGTAAATCTGCATTTGCATGATTTAAATTGTGTCATGCTTGTATCATTCATCTTTTATCTACCCATATTTAGTTTCGTCTGGATTTATTTTTTCTTGTGGGTTTTTAATAATTTTTCTTTACATCCACATTTTGTCAGTCACTGGTTGCAACTGATTGCAACTCAATTTTAGAGGTGATTCTCTTACCGAGGGCTGTTTACTCTTTACTAAATTTGACTTTCCTGAAGTGCAAAAAATAAAAATGAGCTCTTAATGATGCTTTCCAAAGATGAAAAAGAAACGTTCTGCACGTCTACATTGGAATCAAACTGTGTACTGTGGACTTTAGATTTTGCTTAGCGACATCTTGAACTGTTCTAGCAAAAGGGTTGAAGTTAGATTAAACAATCCATGTAGAGGAGATAGAATTGCCTCGTCTATAAACACAGATCATCATAAAATATTCCTTAACCTCTTTAATTAAATCAAGTAACCATTATATAAAAAAAAAAAAAAATACATACATATTTATAACTGGACATCCTTCTTCCCCCCCCCTTCTACTCCTTTTCTTTATATAACATCTGGTGAAAAAGACCAGAGGCTGGCTCCAGTCCTACAATTCTTAACTTTGCAGTGACACCTGGTGGCCCATCATAACAATTACTGCTGACATAAAATCATCAGAAGTGGAGACGTCACCAAATTATAAACATAATGCAACAAAACAAATAACCAAGGACCTGCACTATTATGCACTATAGTAAATATGCAAGAACAGCCTGAAGTTTGCTGAAACTGGCCGTTTAACTTTTACATTTTTAATCCGAAACTGTTTTGCAGTTTGACGTTGCTGCAGAGTTTAGTTGTTTATCACTCTTTGATCAATCTATAGAGGAAGTTTTCTGACCTCAACATAACATCTTTGTGTGCCTATATACCAATCAGATTCAGATGTGGTCATGGACTGCAGTGCATGTGGAGTGCACTATATGCAAATGGAAAGTGAGATTTGTCTCAACATCCAACATAATGACTCCTTAAAAGCAAAACATTTTTAAACTTTATCTTGAAATGCAGTTTTCTCACATATAAAAAAGTGAACAATCTGGACTGAGGCTTACCTATTGTTGTGCCATCCTCTCCCATAATGCACTTCATAGAAGTGATGATTTGCTCCACCACAGGAGGAGACATGGAGGTGGCGTAGACCGCACTGTGGGAATGGGAGCGCAGGTATTCGATGAGCTCCTAAACCCAGGAGACACACAGAAGACATAAGCAGATACGCATGAACAGCTGCAGTCTCTCAGTCCCTCACAACGTTGCTTGTTGCTTCCCTCTTTCACGAATATGTGAAAATGTTTTTATTTTATTTTTAGAAGCACCAGATTTACATTAAAAACCTCAACAGTCTGATAAGCACAAAGTGAGAACTGAATTTCGCTTTGCGCTCTCAAACCTGTCAATCTGCCCGTTACATTTTTAGAAGGATATGAAAGTCATTAAAAGCATAATGTGAGCTACATCCTGTAACCTGTTAACACATTCCTAAGCGATTCATGACCAATTTTCTCCGACTCCTTTGTTCTGCTTGAGGGCTTCGGCAGTTCTAAGACGCCACTACATGATGATTTAGACAAAGTGTCTTATCTTGATAACCATCTCGATAAGCAAGCTTTGTTGTCAAGAATGCAACATGCACTGTTGCAATGACTAGCACTCGTGTCTGCAACAAGTGACGCTTAGAGAGTCCATGCATCAGTGCACTCTTGAAAAACTATGAGTTTAAACTGATGTTATGCTAGAAAATGCACTCTTCCCCCCCCCCCCCTTTTTTTTTTCTTCAAAAAAATCAAAAAATAAACAAAGAGATAAAGCTCACCCTTTTCCCTGCGATGTATCCACCTGCAGCACCAAAGCTTTTGGTAAAAGTGCCCATCATGACGTCCACGTCACATGGGTCGAGGCCAAAGTAATCCACCACACCTCTTCCTCTTGGACCCAGGGCCCCTATACTGTGGGCTTCATCTAAGTAAAGGTAGGCCCGGTAGCGCTTCTTTAAGGCAATCACTTCTGGCAGGCGCACTATGCTGCCCTCCATGCTGCAGGGAGGAAACCGGCAGAGTGGAAGGTGCATTACATCTCCTGAGGTGTTACAGCTTTGTTTTTCCCAACAAATTCAGCTTTTGCACCAGAAACTATCCACCCAACAGCTGTCAACATAGAATAAACAGCTGAAATGACTTTTGACTCAAATAAAAAAAAAAGTTAAACTTATTAAAAAACAAAAAAGACAGCAGAAACTGTCTTGCACGTTGCAAATGCTTTTTGTAGCACCCCATCAGACAGAATCAGGTTAGCTAACTAAGCACTGACACATTCTCAGTACAGTTTAAAGTGCTGAACCTGAATAAACCATCAGAGGAAGCTGAACCTGCTCTTGTATTTCTGGTGCAAAGACATACATGCATTAAGCACATGCATCAACAATCATTCTTAATAATCCGCCCAGGGGCTTTGGCCACAGATGGAATTGCTGCTTATGCAATAAAGTTTTTAGGTCTTGCTCAACCTGAAACTAGGAAGGAAAATAAAGGGAATTTTAAAAGTGGGCAACTCCTTTTTTTCTACTGCATAAGGCCAAAGACAATTTCAGCACAGTTGCAAAAATTGTATAAATTCAGCGCTGAGACTTTCTCCTACCAAAGACAAGATTTAAATGTACTCCCAATAGATTAAATAAGCACATCTAACAGACTTAAACGTTCTAAATATTTATTTTCCCCATGAAGTCATGTATGACATATACAGGAAATCAAAGCAGTACCTGTAAATGCCTTCAACCACTATTAGGATCTTCTTCCATGGTCTGCGAGTCCTGGGTTGGCCATGAACGATGGCTTCTCTCAACAGTTTTTCAAGGCTCTGCATATCTGACAGGAAAAAACAAAAATTTGAAGTGTTAACATTCAAAATGAAAGCTGTGGTTTTAGCAGTGGTCTTCCTTTGTATTCTACATCAAAATGCTTTCTCTTTTCCACTGACATTGTTTTAAAGCTGGCAAACATTAGATCAGACAATCAAACTAATAAAAAGCGCTATAATTACAGACCTTGAGAAGCAATGGAAGTTTTACGACATGGCTAATGCATGGGAATAAATGCAAATAGGAAGCAGATGGATAAGAACAAATAGGAGACTCACTGTTGTGTTTAAAGACTCTGATGGTGGACCCAGATAGTCTGGCTCCCAGGACCAGAGAGGCATGGTTCAGCTCATCACTCAGGATTAGACAACCCTGCAGAAGATTAATTAGCATTAATATTTCACACATATAGGATTTGTTGCACACAATAGCAGATGGACTGCTACGTTTTTTTAGTCAACATTGTTTTTATTGGCTGGTGAGAGGCTGGAGAATCCTTTTTTTTACAATTATATAGAACAACCTCTGCTGAGAGAATTACACTGAGAATGCAGCTTGCTTTGTAGAACTGCATTGTTTCATACCTCACTGCTCTGAGTCTAACCCTACACCTTTATACCAGCAGGTCTGAATCATTTTATTAGAGCAGAAGTCTTTAGCAGTCTCACCACTGTTGGCTTTCACTTCCTTAGTTTGCTCCTTTTTCACTTTAACATACACAACCAGCCAGTCACCAGCAAGTGTTTCTTCCTGATATAAGATAAGGTGCTTGGTGTAACTGGTGACCTACAATAGCGTACTATTAAGTAAACATACTTAGAAAAGACCCATGAACATCCAGGATATCTTGCTAAAAATAAGCTCATCCTTGTCCCCTGTGTCACTTGGGGTCTTACCTTGCCAACGAGTGCTGGTATGTTCATTGAGTTAGTTGCAAATCCCATGCCGAACGCCATGGCTGATTCCACACCCAGGAACCTAGCCACCTGTTTCTCCATCTCCTCGTGTCTGTCCAGGTTACCTGAGGAACAAAAAAATAAATAAATACATGAATTAAAAGAAAAAAAACCCACAAAAAACATGGGAGCTTAAAATAAACGGATACCACTGAACACCTTGAAGTTCTAAAACTGACATCGATTTTTTTAGTATTATTTATTTTACTTGCTTCTCCTGGGAGATGATACCACAGAAGATCAATAAAATAAGCATAAAGACTGGAAATGGAGGGAAACAGCTACCCCAGCTTTGTTCAGGTTAAATAAAACAAGAGAACTCAAGGATCCACTGCCAAAGCCAATTCCCTATTTCACGGTTAAGATGGTGAGACAGATACAGTGAGGCAAAAAAGTATTTAGTCAGCCACCGATTGTGCAAGTTCCCCCACTTAAAATGATGACAGAGGTCAGTAATTTGCACCAGAGGTACACTTCAACTGTGAGAGACAGAATGTGAAAAAAAAAAAATCCATGAATCCACATGGTAGGATTTGTAAAGAATTTATTCGTAAATCAGGGTGGAAAATAAGTATTTGGTCAATAACAAAAATACAACTCAATACTTTGTAACATAACCTTTGTTGGCAATAACAGAGGTCAAACGTTTACTATAGGTCTTTACCAGGTTTGCACACACAGTAGCTGGTATTTTGGCCCATTCCTCCATGCAGATCTTCTCGAGAGCAGTGATGTTTTGGGGCTGTCGCCGAGCAACACGGACTTTCAACTCCCGCCACAGATTTTCTATGGGGTTGAGGTCTGGAGACTGGCTAGGCCACTCCAGGACTTTCAAATGCTTCTTACGGAGCCACTCCTTTGTTGCCCGGGCGCTGTGTTTTGGATCATTGTCATGTTGGAAGACCCAGCCTCGTTTCATCTTCAAAGTTCTCACTGATGGAAGGAGGCTTTGGCTCAAAATCTCACGATACATGGCCCCATTCATTCTGTCCTTAACACGGATCAGTCGTCCTGTCCCCTTGGCAGAAAAACAGCCCCATAGCATGATGTTTCCACCCCCATGCTTCACAGTAGGTATGGTGTTCTTGGGATGCAACTCAGTATTCTTCTTCCTCCAAACACGACGAGTTGAGTTTATACCAAAAAGTTCTACTTTGGTTTCATCTGACCACATGACATTCTCCCAATCCTCTGCTGTATCATCCATGTGCTCTCTGGCAAACTTCAGACGGGCCTGGACATGCACTGGCTTCAGCAGCGGAACACGTCTGGCACTGCGCGATTTGATTCCCTGCCGTTGTCGTGTGTTACTGATGGTGACCTTTGTTACTTTGGTCCCAGCTCTCTGCAGGTCATTCACCAGGTCCCCCCGTGTGGTTCTGGGATCTTTGCTCACCGTTCTCATGATCATTTTGACCCCACGGGATGAGATCTTGCGTGGAGCCCCAGATCGAGGGAGATTATCAGTGGTCTTGTATGTCTTCCATTTTCTGATGATTGCTCCCACAGTTGATTTTTTCACACCAAGCTGCTTGCCTATTGTAGATTCACTCTTCCCAGTCTGGTGCAGGTCTACAATACTTTTCCTGGTGTCCTTCGAAAGCTCTTTGGTCTTGGCCATGGCGGAGTTTGGAGTCTGACTGTTTGAGGCTGTGGACAGGTGTCTTTTATACAGATGGTGAGTTCAAACAGGTGCCATTCATACAGGTAACAAGTGGGGGACAGAAAAGCTTCTTACAGAAGACGTTACAGGTCTGTGAGAGCCAGAGATTTTCCTTGTTTGAGGTGACCAAATACTTATTTTCCACCTTAATTTACGAATAAATTCTTTACAAATCCTACCATGTGAATTCATGGATTTTTTTTTTCCACATTCTGTCTCTCATAGTTGAAGTGTACCTCTGGTGCAAATTACTGACCTCGGTCATCATTTTAAGTGGGGGAACTTGCACAATCGGTGGCTGACTAAATACTTTTTTGCCCCACTGTATTCACCAAGTAGAACAGCTTCCTCCTTTGCCCATGCTCCTCCTCTCCACCAAGTTTAATCACTTTCACCTTGAGATTTCTTGCATAATCGTGCTGACTGACAAACTGCACTGATCGCATTCTGCTCCAATAAATTTGCGCTTCTGTCTGGGGAGTTAAAAAAGGAACCTGTCGATACTCAGATACTTAAAGTTCACATGATATATCTTGTTTGTCCAGATCATATAACATCCAAGTGTAAAGACATCAAGTTGTGGATTTCATTATGATACATGTAGTATTTCCCACATAGAGGCACAGACTTCTTCGCATCCTGTGAGGTTATCAAAACTTTACATATTGTCTCTTTGCTTTTGTATGAATTAAACAATCAGGATACAACATGTTTGCAACATTAACCAGTAACTGTTATATTTTGTGTTTCGCTCCATTTCCAGTATTCGTACAAATCCAAGATCCAAGCTCTACTTAAGTGGTCAATTATGACTAAATATTTTTCAACAAACAACATAATATGTTGGACATAAACTCCTATAGTGTACATAAGCATTACAGCCATCTACACTCACCAGCCACTTTATTAGGGACGTGTTCAACTATATTAAATCAGTTATTTAAATGGCAACGATAACACATTTAGGCCTGTAAACATAGTCAAGATAAAATGAGCATTAGAAAGGGGAAGAAAGGCGAGTTCAGTGACTTTTAATGTGGCATGGTGCCTGATGCATTTCAGAACCTGCTAATCTACTGGGATTTTCCCACACAAGAGAAAAGATCCAGTGAGAGCAGCAGTTCACTGGTTCAAGCTGATAAGAAGGCAACAGTAACTCAAATAACTACTCGTTACAACCAAGGGAGAGATTTGCATCATAGATGTGTTTGGATGTTTCCAGCATGTTGCTGAATCTCTGCCAAGAAGAATTAAAACCTTTCTTAAGGTTAAAGGTGCTCCAACACCAGACTAATGCCTAAAATGTACTTTACAAAGTGGTCAGTGAGACTTATTTGAAAGCATTTGTAAAGACAGAAAAGTCACGGTAATTTGCAATTGGCTCAAACACCGCGCACAGATGATCATCATACTAGTTCCCACAGCTTTACTAAACTAACTGGTTTATGACATTTTGTTTACCGAGGTGAATTCAGCTGTGCTCAGTCTTGCCATTTAAGACCCAGCAGTGATAGCAAAGGTAGCGGGTGTGTCTGTGTTTTGCCATGTGTTTGTACCAATCTCCTGCCTCGTGCTCGCAACTCCAACACCGTACTTCATAGTGACTTCAGCTGCGGAGTCAGCACATGGACCTGTATTCTCAGCGAAGCCGAGGTAATTATACGAGCCCAGGTTAATCACATCCTGCACTACCCGACCCGTGTATCTGCAAGAGAGGGCGAGAGGAGAAGATAAACAGACACAGGAAACAATCAATGAGAAGAAACTAATGATTTGGGAAACAGATTGGTATAATTAATAGTAATGATTGGTAGAAGTAATTAAAAACTAGACTGAGAGGTTTGATAGCATCAGCGTGCTCTTTTTTGTTTTTCCAATCTTTCTGGTGTCTGTCTCTCCCACATCTTCTCACTTGTGTGTTTTGTTTGACTTCACGAACATTATAGATCTTAAGTTGGACCGATTTTAATATGAGATGAACGCTACATGGCTGTTCATTCTGGGGTTATCACCTTCATAATATAAAGAGTGCGAATATATATATATATTATATATATATATATATATATATATATATATATATATATATATATATATATAATGTACAAAACTGCTACATATACAATTCTGTACTAAAGTCTTAGAGCCATTCAACATGTTTTTATATTTTGCAGCCAAGAACCAGAATGACGTGCAATTTTTAAAGTTGTCTTGAGGAACAATTGTCCAGGCTTCCTGAAAGTCTTTCAATGGTTTTTATTTCCAGTCCAGTCTTTGTACCTGAACATTTTCAGACACATGCCTTCTTTGTTAAGCCACTTAACACTGAAATATAAACACTTAAGCATAAAAAAAGGCACCTAACTCGCTGGATGAGCCAGTGTTGTGTCTCCACAAACAGACAACTTGGCAAAGAGCCAACTTTAAACTATTAAACTGTAGCTTTGTTATTAGCACCGTGCTGCAAAACCACAGAATTTGTTCACATTTCTTTAGTTAAATCTACAAAAAGGTCAAAGGTAACACAGTCTGACAAGCAAAAAAAAAATAGCATTTTTATTTCTTTTTGCATCAACAGGATGATTTCCAAAGCACACCACGAGACAAATTAAAAACGCAATCCAACCTTCCCTGTCCACCTTAACTGTTCATGTGCATGAAACCAAACCCTGCTTAAGGATTAGTGATCAATGGACTCTAAACAACAAGCTTCTGGTCTTATCTTGTCTTATGTTTATATTGTCTGAGTACACATGTTCTGTCTGTTCATAGAATTTACATACTATACACAGAGGTAAACAAGGTGAGAATCCTACCTGCTCTATGCAATATAATGCTGTAATAAATGTGTTCAAGATTTCTCTACTTTTATTAGGATCTAGAGAAATAAACTTTATTAGGAATAACTCTACACCTTCTGAGTCACTTATCCAATCAGCTAAAACAGGATTTTCACCACAACAGCCTTTAGTGTGAAACAAAAGTAACAAACCTCCAGTGAACAGCTTCTTTTATTACTTTGTGCTCAAAAAAAGAGAAATTCAACAGAAAGCTAAGGCTGGAGTGGGCACAGACTCTGTCAAAAGAGGACAGTTCAAAAGGAAAAGCAACCTGGTCTTATAAATCTTGAATTCTGTTCCAAATTAATGCACCAAGTCACAAACCAAAACTCCTATTATAGTCATACAGTCGTATCATATCAGGGGATATTGGGGATGTGTATTAATATTAATGTCCAGGTGAAAAATTTCTATGAAAACCACGTCAATCTCAAAGGCAGGTTTCCAGCATCTTTTGAATTCCACAACTCAATTAAGGTAGTTTTGTGTCTATTATGCAAACACATTAAGCAAATGTCACCTGATATCTGGCTGATTTATCAGTCTAGTGCTATTGTACTGTACATTAGTTTTCATGTTTTATTTAATTAGGGGTAATGGAAAGGCCTGCCGGAGCTTTTAAAAAGCCGTGTCCAATGAGAGACGTCTGGAACCTGGCCAACTTTGTGTGATGTTGGTAACATAGCAGTTATAAAGCATACTTCCCATTGCTATTGTGTGCCTGAAATCCTTAAGGTTAGCTTAATGATAACAATATTTGCGCTCTTGAATGAAAGCTACATTAATCTCACTCAAAAGTCCAGTTGTAGTCGTAGGTGGCTCGTTCCATCAGATCCATCTTGGCTCCCGGGACGCTGCATATAGGCCTGTTCCAGTTGTCTCTTATCCGCATATAGAGGTTTCTGGTGTAAAAGTTCTCGAAATCCTGGTAGAGCGGTACAAAATCCTACACATGGATGAAAAGGTAGATAATAAAGGAAAGTAAAAAGCAGCACAACATATAGGAATTTTCTCCTACATCACTGGTATTTCCTGTAACGATATCTAGATCTTCACAGTTTCAAGTTTCTTCAAAAGCTCACAAGGAAAGAATTTAATCTCATCCAGTTTAAGCATTACAACAACATTTAAAAGAACACACATGATCAAGGGAGCTGATATTCCTTGTTTCACGGAGGAAAACATCCGTCCGATATCGTCGGGCCCATTTAATGATTTCCCCACGAAAGGCTTCCTTTCCTTGACATAACTAAATTCTGAGAACAATGGGCTTTACTTTCACACATTACATAAGATGTTGGAAACAAAAGTGAGTGACACAGAAGACATTCTAAACATGTTCCACCTCTAACAAAAATGCAATCTTAAGCATGCACACTTTGGATTAAAGGCAACAAAGAATATTTCTATGTAAAGTTCCCCATAGCTGGACATAATTACAGCTGACAGGTTCATTTCAAACAACTGATGCTTGCTTTCTTTAAAAAACACCAAGCTTCAAGCAATGCTGATTAAAATGTTTGCAATATGACAACCTACATTGCAGATTCTAGTGATTGGGATGGATGCTTGCTTTGTAGTGTGCAAATATCACATTGGCTTACTTTGATTAATGAAACTACAAAAGGTTCCCCCCCCCCCTTTTTGTTATCACTACTGTTCCCGCACAAACACTGCAACAATTTGGTCACCAGGCAACATGTAATTAGAGCTCAGTCTCCCAGATAAGAACCATTCAACACCTGAAATGCGAGATGAATCCCTGCCAGAAGCAATCATAACGCTACAGCTACTGCGTTTAGGTAAAGGGCAGCCAAGTTTCTCAACTGCTGCCTTTATCTGGAATTTCTTAGCATGAGCCCTAACTTTGATTACCACCTTTTAGATCAATTGATTTTGTGTTCCTGCAAATTTACTGTTGCATTTGTTTTTCATCCTACCTTTTGCTCCTCTTTCTCTCTGGCGATGTGGCACCTTTCAATCTTCCAGTGACGAAGGAAGTCACGGAGGTAGCCAAAGATGGTCAGGATGCCGTAGCCCATGTATGTGAGCACTGCCACCATCATGGGGGTCTCTTCAAAGTACTCGATGAAGGGCCGGCTGTACAGCCTGCTGTTGTATGACGCTGCATAGACCTATGTAAATCAGAAAATGTACAGAAGCAAGTGGTTTAATTATTTTAATGAAAGACATGAAATAATATCTGCCATGCAAACTAGGAATCACAAAATAACTTAAAACAATCCAAACAATACAATCACAACAATTTTACAACACTAAATGAACTTCAAGACTCATGAAACATTATCATCTGCATTGCTGAACAGAGAAAAGTGGTAAAGAAGTACAAAAAAAAAATGCTGAAATTTTGGTTAAATTATTCCCTTTTTAAATAAAATATATACAAGTTTGGCATAATGATGATTGTGTTGCAAGTGGCAGCAATGTGACTTATCAATATGTAGTACTAGCATGTTTCACATCACGCTGTGTTACTATTTGTGTGTAATTGGAGCCAATGCAAAAAACAAACAATAAAGTAGTTTATTGTCAGTAAATGTTACAGGACGTTTCTTAAGTCCAAGCTATAGAACAAGGCTCACACTGCAGCCCACAGTGCATCCACGGCTTCCATGGTTTACATTTGGTCATACAAGTTATGCAATGAAACGTGACAACTGATTCAAAACTTTGCTGAATAAAAATAACCAATTTAATCTGTTATAATAATCTTGTGGCAAAAGGCATCTTTCAATGTGTATGGGTGCTTAAGAAGCTGTGAAGAATTGTGTTTATACTTGAATCTGTCACATTCAAACAGCACATTTAAAAAATAACAACTTTAAATGTAAGTGGGAGCATGTGCTCAGAGTAGAGTCAAGCAGGAAAAAGAGCTTAAAACGCTTCAGTTTTCAAGAGGAGTTCATACAAGCAAAGCGCAGGTACCGTATACACTACACTTTGTAATTATAGTACAAAGAAAGGTCGCTTCACTTTTAACACTCCATAATATTGAATGCAGCCTTTTCTGTCACTCACGTAGCAGGTTGCTCTCATTGCATGTTTATAATGTGTTGAGATATCATCTCTTTTTGTTCACTGTGATGTGCTGTGATCTGAGCTTGAAGCCTCCGCCCTGTGTTTCAAAGTCGTAAAATCAAAAAAAACTCTGAGCAGCTCTGACAGCAGTGAGTCCCTATTTCAGTTTGATTGGTTATTTCTGCAATAAGCCCTGCTTCTCTAAGCTACCATGGTGGAAGAGCTTCTCACGGATAAGATATCAGTCTGCATTAATATGGAGAATTACCACTGAATTATTTCAGAGTTAGGTTTGCCTGTCATATTGGCTCATCTTTCCCTGCCATGTCACTGTAATTTTACCTTTGAAAGTCTTTAACTCAGCTCTGCACAGTGTTGTTCATTGTGAATGGTGTTTGTATAGATGCTGGTAAACAGACTTATATTTTTGACAGTTAGTATAAGAAAACCAGCGTTGCTAGCTTGCAGGGTGTCTACCTGATGATACTCTGAAAGCCAAAGTGCCAGTAAAAAACAAAGTGAAAAGAAATGAGGAAATCAAACTGCAACAATATGTTTGACAAATCTGCTGATCTAGCTGAAATTAACCTGAGAGATAATTGAAACATATTTTGAGTAGAGATGTACCGATTTATCCACCTTCTTGACTGAAATTAGCTCGCTAGTATCTTAATAATGGCAGTGGCTGATATTTTGTGCTGTGTAACATCAAAGAGCTGAAAATTAAAACAAACAAAAAAAAATACACAAACTTGATTTGCTGCTCTTCAAATATAGTCGTCTTTGTCATATCTGGTGCTAAACTACATTTTATTCAATTTCTTCACCATTTTCCAATTTATATGAAACCTTTGAGTGAAAAATATCCTTTGATTACTTAAAAATAAAAAAAGTCAGTAGCTGAAGCCATACTACGCAGGATTATGTTACAGTGATACCCAACCGCTGCTACCTGTATTTATGCAAACCTAGCCTAAAAAGAGATTCACAACATTTCCTATCTAAGACTTTAAAAGGAATAAACTTCCATGTCATTGTGCATACAATATACTTCGCCTCTTCCTTTGTCTTATTTACGAAAAAGTGGTTTAACTTTTGTTTTTATTGGCTGACATTTAGATGGTTCACTTAGAGGTACTTATTTAAAGCCAGACTGTATGAAAAAGGAAGATAAGACCAAACTATTACGTTCTGGTTCAGCTCTGTACTCAGGGAAGTAAACAGGGAGAGCGATGATTTGACTGCCAAATAAGGGAGGAGAAGGTTGTGTTGATAAACTTGAACAGATAGAATTCACTTTCTAATGTTTTTTCTTCTACATCTTGATAAGTAATTGGATAGACAATGAAACCTAATGGGCACTGTGCAGTTCACTTCACTATCGCGCTCATGGCTATTAGGGCATTGCATGTGACCGGTCATGCCTTTCCCTCAAATTCCTTACAGAATAGCAATGCTGACATCTGCATGAACCCTAATCAGCTGAGGTTTAGTCAGCAGGCACTCAGTTTCTTAGCCTGAAAAGCAAGTGTGGCAGAAACCCTCTGTGCAATTTGTACCAAATTCTTTAGTGACTAGAATAATCAGATAATAAACAGCAACGTGCTTCACGTTATTTTACTTAAGAACCACACGCTGGAGAAAACTGGGATTACTTTCCTCTCAAGAAATATTAATCTGACTCAAACAACAGGGGAAAAAATTCTCTGTATTTTCAATGCCAGTGTGTGTAGCAGCACCTAATCAGTCAGAGGAGGCCCATTAATTGGGCCAGCTACAGAAGATGCACCCAAGGGTGGAAATTTCATTAGCCTATTTGGGAAGAGCTGTTTTGCAGCATGCACTCAAGTCTCAGCGGACAGCTTGAAGTGAACAGGTGCACTGGTTCAGTGTCTCCCTAATCACTAACTCATCACAGTTTCAGTGTGGATTGCAAATGGAAGCCAACCGCCTCATGAAAGAGAAATGTTTCCAGACTTTTACTGCCAAACAAGTGAGAGAAAAGTACAGCCAAGATGAACAGAGCCAAAGAACGAGATTTAAAACTAAAACAGAAAGAAAAAGCTGACATATTGCACGAAATAAACACAACAATCTCCCTAAAGAACAATCAACTGAGTGGATGAGTTTTAGATTTGTTTCAAAATTGTCTGGAGTTATTCCATTCCCAGTTTGAGCCTCTGATCAAAGTCACAAACCTGGACTCCTCTTAAAATGGGTTGGAGAGCATCAAGGAGCCATTCAAAGTTTAGACTTTGATTTAAAAAATAAAAATATTATAATGGGGAATTAAAACGCTGCTGTAAGTCATTGAGAAAAAACGAGGTATCTAACCTGACAAATAAGCTGAAACTTTTTAAAGTGGACTTTTAAAAAAAATGGAGCTCGGCGTTTACTTTGTACAGGAGCCGGGAAACATCAGAACTCGATGACAGCATGCTGTGAGACTGCTGTCAGCAGCAGGACTCGGTCAGCTGTCCTACCCGAACACCACAGGACTTTATCATAATAACGGGAATTTAACAGCATCCTTCGGTGTCACGAGTCCACAGAGTGGATGCTTTCCCCGGCTTCACCAACCCATCCGACCCGTCCCATCCCGGGCCTCACCTCCTCCTCGGCGGTGTGGCAGCGGTTCTTGGGCGGCCGCTCATGGCAGGGCGGGGTAGAGGCTCTTTGCCAAACCGTTTCTCTCCGGCTTCAGCCCGTTCTTCACCCGCCGACACACTTCGTCGTCGGCTGCTTTGGTCTCGGGGCTTTCGGTCATTGCTGGGCAGGAATGGTGGAGCTGCCACAGTAACTTGCATGTAGGAACACGGAGCCTGCCCGCGGTGCAAAGCGGTGACAGCATCCGAACAGTGAACGTTTACAAGCACACGCACTACAAACTCCCTGACACGCTCACATCCACGAACAGCAATCACACGCACAGCCCACTCCCTGTGTAACCTGAAAATCTAGATACTCAATACCGGAAAACAACGCCCCGTAAACCAACGTAAACCGAAGCCTGTCCTGGTGGGGGCGGGGCCATAATGTCTACAGAGAGGCGTGGCTTAAATTATGTACATTTGATTACAACTCATTACAGATGTTTTTGATGTCATTTAAAATAAATAAATAAATAAATAAAATATTACAAATTAGTCATAAGTACATGAGGTTCAGGAGGATTAACAGAAATTATATACAATTAAAAACTAAACTTAAAGTGTTAATATTTATAATATTTCACAATAAATTTGAAATGATTAGCATGAGGGGGTAAAATCGCCATAGTTTCATCACGTTTCGTCAGTACTTCCAAACAGTACTTCCAAACAGGGAAAGAAAAACTGAAAACTTCAAAGCAGCTTTAAAACACTAACAGCAGTTAAGAAGCTAATCAAGGGTGATTTTAACCCCCTAACCCTACCCTTAAAACTATTCTCAAAATTCTAATATAAAGTCCACACATGTGAAGGCACCTTATTTTCTGGAAATAGTACTGCACTTTGAATATAAACATTATGTAGATAATAGGTATTGATTTGCAAATAACTGTAAATGAATAACTTGAGGTTATGATATAATGATATACTACTATTCTATAGTGTTATCTTATCGTATGTGTTATCTTTAAAGATATAGATATATACTTTCCAGGTCAACTTGACAGAAAAGCAAGGTGAAATGTAAATGTTAACTCAAAGGTCAAATGTGAGATGATATTTAAAGGCCGTAGAATTGTGAGCATAGTCTCGAAGATAAAAAAGACATTTTATGAAAGCTTCACTAGAATCCCCACAAATTATTCCCTGTATACCTATATGCAAGAAACTTAGTTTTAAATAGTTGTATATATATATATATGTTTAATATCAATTTGACATTGAAATCAATCTATTGACTTTGAAGGAGAGGTCAGAGGTCAAATGTGACCTAATATTTTAAACCTTTATACGGTGCACTTGTAAAAATCACAGTTTATAGTTATAAGACATTTTTTTGGGATCAATTTTCTTCCAATAAATCATAGATTTGACCTTAAAGACCCTGGTGGATGTAAGCCAGATTTCAGTGGTTTGTTAACATGACTCTACTTTACACTCCTACCAAGTTTTATCAGAATTCATTCAAAACCTCTCCCGCTGTTGTATTTACATACAGAATGACATGCCTGCACCCATGCACGTACGCAAATGCTATCAGAAAAATACATCCCCCCCTTAGTGGAGGTACTTATTATGGCGTCACAAGTGCAAGATGGTTTGATATCAAATGGCACCACATTCTTTAAACAATAAAAAACTCTGTGTTTGACGGAAAAAAGAACAAAACACTAGACTTTAATTTGAATCTTGGCCGTGTTTATCCTTCCTTCACGTGTCACATCTGTCTGTAGTCCATCACACACAGTGACAAACAGAAAAAGCTGAAAACACTTCCCAGTCGTCTGAGTTCAGGTTGAACAGCATATCTTCAGGCACGTATTCTGTTTGTTGGCACAGGAGCAAAAATTCCCATTAAGTAAGCTGCTTATTATTCCACTGCAGCCCCAGATTTAATAAACACAATTACAAATCGCAAAGAAATCTTTAATGAGCTTGATAAATGATATGGAGCAATCTTCTTATGTGTCGTATCAGATTTTTAACTAATTATGGAACTGTGGCTTGTCATATGTGTGCAAATAGAAACGCGAACATGCTCACAAGTCTTAAAAAAATCATCCACTTAATATGAGATAAAAGGTGGTGCAAGTTCTCTCAGATTTCTTTGTGGATTCATGTCTTTGCACTGCCCTGTTAAAGGCTTTCAGAACACATTCTACAAGATCACGAGTTAAGCATCAAACCAGCTTTCTGACTCACTGTCCTTGTGACTGCGATCATTTCTGCTGAAAATACAGTCTAGCTACCCCCTCTTGTGGCGCAAGGTTGGAATGGCAACAAGTGAAAATTGCTGTGTAAAAATAAAGACTGAAGACCTGAGACTGATGGCCTCAGGAACACATAGTAAAGGGTCAGGAAAACAAATGTCAATGAAAATGTTGATAGAGTTTGGGTGCTGCTAATTGAAGAGCCAGACAATATAATGATATTAATGATATTATTAATAATAATAATAATAATTTGATATCTTTCATTTACTTTGAAATGTGCCCAGTCTCTAATTATAAGTGTTCGGACCGTGCATTGCACCTGAGTGATGGTTACAAGGAAACAACACATGGCTTTAATTAAATGCTGATTATTGCCACTAATGTTCTCTGTCAGTCATTTGTCTCTCCCCAATGATTTCATTTGGACAAACATGGTGCCAAGGCCCTGACATGGTATACCATTTAGACTATCACTCTGCATTGCACTATTGATGTCAGTAACTGCATGTACCTGCAAAAAATAATCAAAATAAGTTCCAAATACGTGATTACAATGATTCCTCTATGGTAGTGGAGCATTTGTGATTCCTCTGGTTCGGCTGCCACACACCAGCAACTGCAGTGAGCCTGTGATGGCTATGTATTACAACAGAAACTGTGATTTCCTCACTATTTTCTTCTCCGAAATGAGCTCCCATGCCAGTGGGAAATAAGCAGCATGCATTACACTGAACGTTTGACCTAATCTGTGTCATTTCAACTTGATGGCCATTTTGCTATTCTCCCTGTCTGATAGGTTACGATGACGCATCCTATCACATTCTTTTACTGCTTCCTTGTCATGAGTGAAGGGCTTGCATCAAGCAACACACCCCGCAGGAGCGTTCCCTTCCAAGGTAAGACATCTTATTTACATGATAGTTTGAAAGAGAGCCTAACAGCAGTACACAGTGACTAATGAAGAGCAAATTATTTTATATACTATGCAGTGTGATATATATATATATATATATATATATATATATATATATATATATATATATATAAGGAGCTCTGCTGGAGAGATGGAAAATATTAACAGAAGATGTTGGTGTTTTAAAGTTGGTGTCAGAGATCACTGCCTAACATTTCAGTCCAGGTCTAGATTTGGTGATCGGATAAGTAGGTATGAAAAATGTGTTATTCCCATTCCTGATTTCCTTTTATTGTATGTTTGTCACACAGATTTAAATACATTTAAAAATTAATTTAAAAATGTAAATATTAGACAAATATATTCTACTCCAGATGTTATTGGAGACACACCTTTTAAAAGTTCAACTTTTGTCTGGTCAGTCCACAGAGTATTTTTCCAAGTCTTGGGGATCATCAAGATGTTTTCTTGCAAAACTGAGATGAGCCTTTACCCGTATGTTCCTTTTGCTTAGCAGTGGTTTTTGTCTTGACTGACTTTAACTGAGGCAAGTGGGACCTGCAGTTCCTTGGATGTTGTTATAAACACCTTCATTAAAAAACTTGCTTGTGTTATCTTTGTCTAATATTTACATTTGTTTGATGATCTAAAACATTTAAGTGTGACAAACATACAAAATAACAGGAAATCAGGAAGGGGGCGAACACTTTTTCTGCAGCACTTTATAATCTGAAGCGCTGTCTCTATAGACTGGCTGTCATCTTGCTAGACACCAGTTCTATCACGATTGTAATATTTCATCACATGATGAAAGGTTATCACAGAATAATCCTCTATTGTTATGCAGTGACCTTTTATTTTTGGTAACAGTGCACCCACATCATGCCAGAGCATATCAGAGCCACTGGATCCCCTCACTTTAGGTGTCAAGGGTTCTTGTTTCTCCTTCAAATCCATTGCATACACCATCATGCTTTAACAGTCATGCTAATTGGTTTCTGGAGCAATGTCACTATTATTATTATTATTATTATTATAATAACCATTATTATGCAGCTAAAATTCAGCTTTTTGACCTAACCTAGGCAAATATTTGTAGGGTCACCTTCGACAAAGCATTGATATACATATATATTACAATATATATGATTAAGAATATTCTAAATCAAAGCACACAGTTATAATAAAACAGGCATTTATGCATTTTTGTTGAAAACTTGATAGACTACGCAACATAACACATCAAAGCGGACATTATTAAAATGCATGGGTTTGAATGATAACCTCAAGCTCCTTGTCCACCTGTCTGCCCTAGACATAAACTTGAAACAGTTCAAAGAGTCTGGCTTTGACAGTTTGAGCTCTTTGATGGTAAGAGAAGACATTGGTCAGCTTGTCCTTGGTGCCAGAGGGAAAGTGCTCACCCTTAGCTTGGATGACATCACCAAACAGACCAGCGAGGTATGACCTTTGTTTGTCTGAGTAGACCGCTGTGCTCTACTTCAGAATGGCGACCCCTTTTTAATGTGAAAGAATTAATCTGCAGGTTTCAAAATACTCAAATAGAGAACCATAAGAAGCTTGTCAAACATAAAAGAGTCTTGGTCATTACCAGTAGTTTTTTCTTCCAGAATAAATGGGCTGTGAGCTCTGCAGATAAAGACCTCTGTCAGATGAAGGGCAAGAGTGCTGAGGTATAGTAAAAAGTTAGCAAATATTATCAGCTCTACGTGGAGGTTTTCACTCCCAAACACAACTTACAGTTTGGGACTTTATTCTTTTATTTTTGTATGGTCTTCCAACAGGAATGTGATAACTTTATCAGGACCCTGCACACAATGGGGGACAGTAAAATGCTTGTGTGTGGGACAAACGCTTTCAACCCTGTGTGTGACTATATGGTAAGTATCTTTGTAAAAGCAAACTTAGAATACACAGGACCAAACGTAAAGACATGGATATGCCACTAAATCAGGAAAATAAAATATCCGAAATGGGAAAAGAGATGATGAATATATTTCCAAAGACAAGCATCGGCTTGTGTTTCAATTTGCAGCTGGAGCAACAGAGCAAAAATATATAAAATTAACAATTTAGTGGAAATAATGCATAATATTCAAACAGACACCGTTTTATATAGTGTGGGATTTATTTTATTACTTTACATCTTCAACAGTAGAATATTAAACTTCAGGGACTGAACTGTCATCTATGGTTGCTAAATAGCTTTATAGATAATCTTAGCCTAACTGTTTGTACCATCATTGTAAACAGTCATATTGTTTGCAGCATTATATTTATTGATTTATTTATTAAGGAAATATAAAATGAAGTGCTAGTTGGTGATCTTTAGATGAAATCGGAGGCTATTAAAAAATGTTTGGCAGAACAAGGTTATTTAACCTTATTACAGTTCATAATTAGGTATTTTAGTAATAGAGAGTCAGAGATATTGTTTCGATTTTTTTATTTACCCTTTGGCATGAAAATGAATAAGGCATGCTAGTTCACTTGGCATGAAATTAATTACTTTTGTTACTTACAATCACACACAGAGAAAGTGCAGGACACATGAGGAAACCAGCAGGACAAATACTATACACACGGGAGACTAGAACAAATGTGTGCACCTGAACAACAACACAAAAACTCAGCTTGAAAAAATAAAAATGAAAACAAGAAACAAAAGTCAAAAATATGACAAGAAAATGCAATACTACACCAAACTCTGCCATTACTGTAACAGCTTATAGTACTTTGTAAAGTTTAGCATGTAGTGAAAACACTGTCCACACTGATTAATAACGTGAGACCCTTAAACATGATTTAATCTTTTAACAGACTTTAACAAACGGAACTCTCTCCTTGGAAAGAAAAACACAAACAGGTCGGGGGAAAATTCCTTTTGACCCCTACCAACGCTTTGCGACCTTTATGGATGGTGAGTAGCTGTATGTATTCTTCTTCCTTTGATGAATAATAGTCTGGCATAAGATGAGATTCCAGAAAGCTAAAGCTTTTTCCTCTCCACTCAAAAGGTGATACTTTGTACTCCGCTGCTTCAACAAACTTTCTGGGTACAGAATCGGTGTTCCAGAGATTCGGACTAAACCCTGTCAAGACTGAATTAAAACGCTCCTGGTTAAATGGTAATTTCATCTTTCTGGACATGTAACCCAATTATGTACCTCATTATAAGGTGTCAGATACCTGAGACAGACCTTAATAGCTCCACCTTGTAAAACTCTTAACTATTTGATCTCATATTGTAAATGGTTTGACCCAGATCCCACCATGATTTCCATAAGCCTCATTGAAGCAAGCAAAAATAGCAGCAAGGGTGAAGATGGCAACGTGTTTCTGTTCTTCTATGAAAATGCTGTGGAGGAACTTCACGGCAGCATCCCAGTGTCCAGGATTGCTCGTGTGTGTAAGGTAGCTACTGTAAACTCATCTGATAAAGAAAATATCAAGGCCATGTTCGTGTGCAGTAAATGTCTTTGTAACGTGGCACAAATGTTACAATTGTTTATGGGTTTGGTTTTAGAGCGACTTGGGGGGCAAAAGGACACTACAGCAAAAGTGGACTTCTTTCCTGAAAGCCAGACTGAACTGTCCATTTGGAGATGTTGGCTCACCATCTTTGGTCCAGGATGTTTTTCTCCTCTCAGACGAGAATGACTGGAGGAACAGCGTCTTCTACGCCACATTCATCTCCAACTCGTAAGCTGTGTTAATTTGTATTATAGCATCATTATTTTGCATGTACAGTACTGATAAAACCAAAGCAACAGTATACTGTAATGACTTCATGAGTTCAATGTTCCAGTGTAGTTTGATTAAATGATTTTTGCGACTGGGTGATGGATGTCCAGATAAATATATAAAAGGTGCCATTTTTAGGTCAAAGTGAATTAATTTAATCAAAATCTTGCACGACAGCTCAGGTCATCTCATCATAGCTTGCAGCAATTGTTCACTGCTAGAAATATGGTGGTGCACCATGTTTCTCTTAGAACTTTCTGTAGTTTGTCACAAAGCCACCTAGTAAATAATCTCAGGATTAAATCACAAGGCAGAGTAAAAGTGAACAAACACAAGAGACAATAAACAACAACAGATACCACAAGCTGGCTGATAATGATCTCAGAGGTCTAGTATCTCAAAACTAGCTATCAGAAAAGGAAACAAGTCCAGTGGGTGAAGATGTATCTCCATTCACAGCGGATCATAGAAAACCCCTACTTACTGATGAATCAGGGTTAGAGATTTAAGAAAAGGGTGCATGTAAAGAGATGAAGAAGAGAGAGAGTGACACCACAGTGGAACTACTGAAGAGGGATAATTGGCCCAACCACACCTAACAGCTTCAAAGAACATTTCTGTAGCACTAAATCAAGGCGGCCAAGCATTACTGACAATACAAGAGTCTGTTTGGAACATTTTCCAAGTCTGCAGGGAAAATGTGGTTAATATGGGCTAAAACAGCTGCTGTCATTACATGACAAAATGAGACATACCAAAATAAATTTAATTCAGCTTTTTCAAGTGAAATATTAGAATTATTTTCTGAGATAAAACATTTTGTGTTAAGTTGCAAACAAATACCAAGTACAGGTATACGCAGTGTATCAGCAGTCATATATATGCTGTAGGGATTTTTTTGTATCTGTTGCAGGGAGCCCTCCTGTGATTGCAGTCACTCTGCTGTCTGTGCATACAAGCTGTCAGACATCAGCCAGGTGTTTAGTGGGAGGTTTCTGACTGAGTTGGATACTGGGAACTGGGACATATACACAGGAGAGGAGCCATCCCCCTACCCTGGTTCAGTGAGTATTAAGCCAAACTTTATATATTAACTGACTTTTTCCTTTTAAATAAAAAACAACATAATCTGACTTACTTTCTGTCATATACTCAGTGCATTGATGATGAAATGCGTGCCAGCGGCCTGACGAGCTCTTTGAACCTCTCAGACACAACGCTGTTGTTTGTAAAGAACCACCCTCTGATGGAGGGTGTGGTTTCACCAATGACTGGCAAGCCTCTGCTTTTCAAGCCAATGACGCATTTTTCGAACATTGTAGTGGACCAAGTCACGTCACTGGATGGACAACAGCACCTGATTATGTTCGTCGGCACAGGTGCACATTCATCCATGCCAGTAACAAAATCACACAAGACAGATGAATCACACTGACAGATGAAGCTCCATGATGGATTCATTTCTCTTTCCCACAGATACTGGTTGGCTGCAGAAGGCGGTGAAGTTTGAAGGTGAGGACGGGCGGATCATTGAGGAGCTGCAGCTGTTTAAAGAGCCTCAGCCTGTGGATTTCCTGCAGCTTTCCTCCAAGACTGTAAGGTTCACTAATTTTGTCCAAATGCAAAACTAAGCTGGGAAATCTTTAACTTGAGTTTAATGGCTGTCTTACTCAGCTCTGAGCAGTAGTAATTTAAATATGCTTGTAAAGAGATGGCTGTAAACTCGTTTTGTTTGTTTGTTTTTTCCCTGTAGGGCCATCTGTACAGTGGCACCAGTAATGCAGTTGTTCAGATTAATCTTAGAGACTGTAGCCGCTACACATCATGTGATGACTGCCTTCTTGCCAGAGATCCATACTGTGGCTGGGACCAGATCAGAAGCCAGTGTGCATCGGTTTTTGGTGCATCAAACTCATCAATGTAAGCCAAATTACTGACCATGCTAAAGAGCGAGAGTGCTAAGCTTTGGACTAAATGAAGGTTTTTCCCTCCTTCTAGGATTCAGAGTCTCAGTAATGGAGACATCACGATGTGCCCACCCTCTGAGTGTAAGTGCAGCATTCATTCTCTTGCAGTGCAAGCAAGTGCAGGCTGACAAAAACAGATCACTAATTTTTACCATTTACAACAACATGGAGATATAAAGAGCTTTTGTTTTGTTTGATCTGTCCCTCAGCAAAAAAGAAACCTGTCACTGTCTACTTCAACGTCAACATATCTCAGCTCCTCCCATGTTCCCCTGACACCAACCTACCAATCATCTGGTACTTTTCTCACAACGTCCTTCATTTTGGTCCACAATTCACTGTATTGAGTCTGGGTCTCATCATCAGACCTTCCTATTCTGATGCTGGACTGTACAGATGTGAGACAGTAGAAGCAGTGAAGGGCAGAGTCCACAGAAAAACCATTGCTCAGTACCTTGTTAAGGTTCACGACACTGATGCCATTATGACGAACCTGAGGGCTGCTGTTTGCATAATGGCTGCTGTTGTTTCCTTGGTCTCATTTTCCAAAGCTGTGTTTATGGTGATTGGATACCTAAAGTCAAAAAAAGGAAACATTCGACGTGGCAACAAGAACTGCAACAACCATCAAATGAGGCCTTGTAATTATTAAGAACCAAGCACGTTAAAGATGCATGGAGGAAGGCCCGCTTCAAAGTGGGAAGGATGCTAGCACAAAGGACACCGGCAATAGCATCAGTGTTTGTGAGATCTCAGACCGGTGCTCTTCTTCTACTCCTCTACCTTTGTTACATTTAATGCAAAAAAAGGAAATAAAAAACAGACCATATGAAAACAGTCATGGAATTCCAAACTCAGCATCATTACACCCACTGAAATTGTTACCTCTTCCGAAATACAGTGATTCAATAAAATGATTGGACATTATATTTTATTGTCATATTTGTGAGCCAAACAGTGCCAGTGTCGACCTATGGACTTTGGAGTTTGTGTATTTTATCTATTAGGCACAATGTTATGTAATTTATCTTGACTTTTATCTGTTTTTTTTTATTTCACAGCTTTTGCTACATTTATACTAAACCAAAGTAATTAAATAATAGAAAAACAATTAAATTACAGAAAAACTCTTGTTTTTGCTTTTTTCCAGTAAGAAAAACAAGTCTGCATAATGACCTACATGAAAATTTTCCTGCAATTTTGCTTATCACAGTTTAAGCCCAAAGAGTCATGTTGACATATTTTTTTTCATTTTTTACAGCAGCATTTGTTTATAATGTAGAAAAACTAAGACCTGTGGCTGAAAGTTCACTTCGCTTTCTTATTTGAAGATATGTCAGAATTAAATTTATACTTAAGCTTTACACTGACAGAAAGAGGAGTTTCACTGGTTGAGCATTGATGCAACAGCTGAGATATGATGCTATATAAATAAAATTGAATCTAATTGGTCCAACTTGACATCAAAGTGGGTCTTATGTGGCCCACAATGTCAAATGAGTTTGACATCTCTGCCTTATGATATTTAAGGACTCCGCTGTAGATAAGAGACATTAAAATGTTTTTTTCAATTAAAAACCTTCAAAAATAAAAATAAAGCACATGTTTCTATGATTTTGTATCTTTGAATATTTGACTTTAAATGGTAAATGGTAAATGGCCTGTATTTGTATAGCGCTTTTCTAGTCCCTAAGGACCCCAAAGCGCTTTACACAACCTGTCATCCACCCATTCACACACTGGTGATGGCAAGCTACAATGTAGCCACAGCCACCCTGGGGCGCACTGACAGAGGCGAGGCTGCCGGACACTGGCGCCAGCGGGCCCTCTGACCACCACCAGTAGGCAACGGGTGAAGTGTCTTGCCCAAGGACACAACGCCCGAGACTGTCCAAGCCGGGGCTCGAACCGGCAACCTTCCGATTACAAGGCGAACTCCCAACTCTTGAGCCACGATCGCCCCTTGAGCCACGACTTTAACCAGCGTGCAGGCCTCTTGTATCACCACAAAGTCCATTCTAATCATACAGTATGCATGTTGGAAGCTGCTACCGTATCACATTTCTTTTTAAATACTCAATTAAGGATGATGAGGAAAGCTTTAAGTACATTTTACATTTCCTCTCACCTGCAATGATTGGCTGAGCTGTTTGATGGCATCATGTATAAAGGAGTAGGCTGCACTGGTTGCTAGCACAGCATAATTCAGGGCACCCTCAGCTTTGTGTGCTCAGCCTGTAGCACAGCATTCAGAAATAATGGCAGCTAGTCCATCCAGCTTCTCACTGTCTGCAGTGATTATTACTGCAGCTATTGGATGACATATAGCTGTCACTGTGATTATGGCTCCAGTCATTGCTGTGCTTTGGCTGTTACAACTTTGGCTTTGACACAGGAGTTAATGGGTGTGTGCATATGCAGTGGTGGTTGGGTTGGGTGAGTGTTAGATTGAAAGAGCTGTGTGTGCGCTCTTATGCTGTGCATTGCTAACACACCTGTCACAGAAGCGCTGTAGGTTCGGATAGCAGTACGGGTAGGCATGCATACAACAGCATAGATTACACCATAGAGCTACAAGAAACAACAGCCAGGAAGAACTGCTGTGCTCTCATGCAGCAGCTTTTACAATGAGAAATAAATGCCACATTATCTTACCACATAACTTGTAACACATAAGCTGTTCATGTGGATCAGGATCACAGTAAAAGTCTAGATGAATATTGCCATTCGTGATTCCTAAAGGTCAACTATTCATTTTTTTTAAACTTTCTGACATGTATGTATACGGCTATAATAGTAGCTGTTCATATGAAACATGGCTAAAGTTTCAAATAATGAGCTCAACATTTGTACATGAGCCAAAAAGCTCAGGCTTCACACTGCTTTAAACACTCTTTTTTTATCCTGGATTTTTATCTTGTATAATCATCATGTCAGCTCATTGATCTGCCAAGGGCGCCTAACATTACAAGTGCTAGTAGCAGCAGAATTATTTATTTCCTTGCATGTTGGCACCACATGCCTGTCTGGAACGGGGTTAAGCATCACTCCATCAGCGACTGGATTGGACTACAGCCACTATACGGGTATTCATTTTCTACATCAGTATAGTGCAGTACCACCAGCAATGCTGATCCACATGGCTGCCCTCTATGTTGCTTGTTTACATCTTCCTGTCACAAGCAGAGAGGAATTGAGATGTTGGAGCTGGGAAAAAGCACTATAGGTCCTCTTTAAGGGGCTTTGTAATTACAAGGACTGGCTGCCAAAATATTTGTCCTTGCATCATCAGTATCCTTTAAAATGAGTGTAAAGGTGAGTCCACCCACCCCAGTAGATCAATGTGAAAACAACCTTCTGGGTTTAGATAACAGAAAGCACTTGAGGACATGTGCCAGACTCACTTTGCTTCATTAATCCTTCTGTAAGCTGTTCAAATCCATGCTTCTCACTAGATGGCAGCATGGGATGTATTTGGAGAAGCTGTGTGTTTTTTATCTGCAGCCGCTGAGGAAAAAGGGGGAGGAAAAAAGAAACAACATTAGTTTTTTACGGGGCTGTGGCCCCCCCACACCCTCTAGCAGATTATTACATGAAGGAACCTTTTAAAAAAACAAAAAACAAGCGCGTCCATGCTCACAGGTGTACACACGGGTGATCACACCCACAAACTACACCCTTTTTGGCTCCTACCTCAAAGCACACTGTGTTCTGTTGATCTTACGTGCTGCACAATAATGTTTAACATTTAGTATTTACTGTCATATTCCCATATATCATTGTGATGTTGTTTATTCTATTACTCTTGTTCTCTTCTGCTTGCTTTCTTTTTTCTTTCTCAGCAGGTGATCCAGGTGATCGATATATGCATTTTTTTTCTCTGCCCGTTCTGTTGGTTTTTGTTTTTTGCCCTTCTCCCCCGTCCCTCTTCTCAGCTGTTTCTCTTTCCCTCTTTCTTTCTCCCCTTCTTTCCCCCAGTCAAGTCTGTCCCGTATTCAGTAAGTGAAAATAAAATAAACAATAAAAGGTGAATCAAATGGACCATTACGGCAAGGCTGGGATGGTCAGTTTGGTAAAGTAAATCCGTTGGGCATCTTTCTTTGCCTTTAGACAACAATTCTGATGGCAAAAGAGCCAAACGGGACAGGCCAAAAAAAAAAAAAAAAAAAAAAAAAATTAGTTTTTTAAAGTGGCCTTGAACTGAGCTCTGTGGTGATGGTGTAATTAGTTCTCAGGGGAATGAAAACTGCTCTCTAAATGTCGGCTGGTTCTCCCTTTTCTGTCTGTCTTTTTACTCTCTTTCCCATGTGCCTCAGTCATTCTCTCCTCCACGTCTATACCCAGTGCTTTTTCTATTCCTTCGTCATCGCTTTTCCCGTGCCTCTTGTAGACTTTCTCCCCTCAACTCGAAGGCAGAAATGTGACTGGAATAGTTACTTTTTCCTTTGGAAGCATTTTGTGAAAAGTTAACTCACATATGTGAATAAGTAAATAGAAATATGTTGAAATTTGGAGATGAGAGGAAACATAAACCGGAAAACATTGATTGTTGTCTGTAATTAGACTGAAGTGACTAAACCGGATTTATAAAAGGAAAGATAATGAAATGCCATTGCAAGCACATACATGAAAGACACATTTAGGGACTGCATCTGGGAGTGTGCGATTTAGGATTCAATTATACAGCTGTTGTAATCAGATAACTTCACAAGTTTTAAGAGAGAACCTGCTGCTAATACTCATCTGTATAACTGTATCTGTAAGTGTGTCCAGTGTTTATGCCTTGAAAAACATCACTGAAGATGAAAGGTTTCCTGTTGGCCACCAGCCTAGCATTGATTATTCACAAGTGAAAGCAGATAAGCACTGCATAGATCAGTAGAAGTTCAGACGATACCATTTCCACAGTCAGAAACATTGGCCTGTAAACCACAGTCCCACTCTGATTTCCTCAAAT